GTAGAAATCCAATACTTAGTACAACATGAAATTCGCTGTAGTTCTTATTGCCGCTTTGGCTTTGGTAGCCCCTGCTTTTGGCAGAACCATGGATCGTTGCTCCTTGGCTAAGGAAATGTATGCTTTAGGTGTACCAAAATCCGATTTGTCAAAATGGACTTGCATTGCTGAACATGAGAGCTCATACCGTACCGGTGTTGTTGGCCCAACTAACTCAAACGGTTCCAATGATTATGGTATCTTCCAAATCAACAACTACTACTGGTGCCAACCTGCCAACGGTCGTTTCTCTTACAACGAATGCAAATTGAGCTGCAACAATTTATTGACTGATAACATTAAGGATTCCGTTACCTGTGCCCGCAAAATTCAAGGACAACAAGGCTGGTCTGCTTGGTCTACCTGGAAATACTGCAGTGGTAGTCTTCCATCAATTGATTCCTGCTTTTAAATTATTAATTTAGTTTTTAAAAGTTTGGGAAAAAATGTTGCTGATACCAATTACGTTTAAATAAATATAATTTTTTATAAAATTTAATAATAGTTCTTGAAAATTGTTTTGAAAATTGTTTTGAAAATTGTTGGCAAGTGTGATGTTAAAGTAAAAGTGTCGCTTTCAGATTAGCATTTTGAATGAAGAGAAAACATTGTTTCCAAATCAAAACCTATAATCTGTACATTTTCCAATGATTCTTTTGAGCAGGTGCCACACAATAAATACTCAATACATTTTATGTTTTGTAATGGCAGTAATTTGACATAAAACGACATCAAATTTACAAACCATAATTCCAACTATTAATTTCAACAGGCACCTTACCAATCGCAGTTTCCGTTAATGGTTGCATTGGAGCTGAAAATGAACTGCAATTCAACAAGTCAAACATTTTTGTGCAAGTCAGAAATGAAGTCTGTAGACATTTTTGTAGTCGTGGTCTAAATGCAGAGCCATGTCATAATCAAATGATCGTACGACAATTGTCGATCACAGTGCAATTAATTGAACGCCAATTGATTGCAGTGGAACCGTTGGAGCTGTCAAGGTGTTGCAATCTGCATGCTTAGATTTGCTAGCTGCTAGTTAAACTGTGTTAATGGCCATGATATAGAGTTTCACTTTTCAAGCTCAAATTGGGACCCATTAAGAAATGCAGCACCGATACGCTGTGCTCAGTTTGCGCAATTAGCGAGTTAAATAAACTCCTAAAAATTTGTATTTTAAATGTTATTTTAACAATTAAATTTTATTTGCAACAAATAGGGTTTTGAAGGCACCACATTTTAATTAAATAATTACTTTTTTTCATATCTTAAATGTTTAGAGAATTTCTTTGGTGAAAGGTAGTAATTAATTAGTTATAGATTTTATTTATTTACGGGGTTGTAAGTAGGTTCCATAATAGATCCTCCATAATAGTTTGTTCTATTTCCTGAAAAAAGTAAACCAAACCAAAATGTAATGGAAGTGAAACTCAATACATAATCTGTTAGTTCATCAAAAAAAATAATTAGTTTCTTTATTGGTTAAAAGAGTTTATATGGTATATAATTAGCATACATATCGTTCAACTCAACACCATATCGCAATCAACTCAACAAATGAGCAGTAATAATTTGAATTTTCCATAGAATATCCATACAAAATTCACATAAAATTTTGTAAGTTTTTATTGTAATATTTATAATTGTAAGTGTTAATATGGCATAATTTATTAGAGGTTAGTCCTCTAAATGTTAGGGCTTAGATATTATTTCTGTCACGTAAAGTTTATTTGCTACACGAATGTGGAATACAATTACTAGTTACTGTATCTTGCACTACCAAAAATTTATAAAATAGAATAGAATAGAATAGAATAGAATAGTATTGAAATTTAATAATTGAAAACAAAATAGAATTAATTAATTTAATTATTCTACAACTGGTTTATGATTGTGTTCTTATATAGTACAACAAGTGAATTTGTTAATAAACTTTCACATCAAATTAACAAAACTCCAGAAAATCTACAAACATACAAGTCAAGTACAGCATTGGATTAGTTGGCTAATGAACAACGATAGGGCACAAGTTCAGCCCCTTGGTACTTGCAGTATCAAAAAATTATTTATTTATAATTCTAAAACCACTGATGATGGATATTTGGTAATATTCGAAACAGACGTATGGTCAGCCAACAAATCAATTAATTAAAATAAACTAAAAAGAATTTTTGTTGTTGTACTTCACTACTATTCGACACCTCTCTACAAAATATTTTATATATAATATATGTATACTGAGACGATCAAACCATCAGAGAGAATTTTGTATTTTTAATAATTAAATAAGTAATAAATTAAATAAAATAAAAAGTATATAAATAAAAATTATATAAAATAAAAATAATTTTCTTACTTTCGTTTAAAAGTAATTAATTGGAGTAAATAGTTTTGGTAGGATATCTTGATCTGTGATATCTTGAGTTGTGATTTTATAGTATACCTATTATCATAATATCGAATTTTGATTCAATTTTATTTGGTTCTGGCTTTATAAATTCAGTCATATATTTCAAATAAATAAACTTATGATAATATCCTAAAAAACACTTATTATATGCTTTAAAATGAATACTTTTAAATTTATTTTTTAAATGCATTTTTGATTGTTGTTCATTGGGAATATAATTTCAAAAATTAACCAAAATTAAATATTAAAATCAGTTTATAAAAAAAGAATCTAATTAAAATAAAAATGATCTTAAAAAAAATTAAAATATGCAAATTTTAATCAAAGACATCTTTTTAAAATTATTTGAATCCAATAAAGTATATATCAAGTCCTCGATAGTATAGTGGTTAGTATCCCCGCCTGTCACGCGGGAGACCGGGGTTCAATTCCCCGTCGGGGAGGTTAGACATTTTTTTTTAGAAGCATTATTGTTCTTGTTGATTGATTTTCTGAATACAATCTTGGAAGCTACTGTATATACTATATGTATATCATCATATAGTAAATGCATTTGAAATTGTTTTGTCTATTTTATGATAGAAATGAATATAATTTTTTTTTGCTCTATAAAATAGTCATAAATCTGATAACAGGGTTACTGAGTCATCTCAAAGACATTTGAAATTATTTTATTTAAATATTAATTGTGAGGAAAGAACAGACTGCTTTTACCAAGATGTTTAAAATGCGGCAAAATAGATATCCACATATAATATAATAATATTTTGGTTTTTATAGCGGGTAGTTGATTTATTTGTTTTAAAGAAGTTCCTGGAACAGAAATGCTTTTGGTTATTTAAGTGAAGTATTCCTTTAAATAGGAGAAAAAGTAATTGATTTATAAGTAATTTTTTTAAAATACTTTGGTGTCAGTACCGGTCTTATAAAAAACAGAACTATCAATTAAGATATTATGTTTGTTTAATGTTTATTATTCTTAAAACGTTTAATAGGCGTTCAATGGGTTCACATTATGAAAGTCTACCATGGTGACCCTACCATGGGAAAAGCTACAGCAGCACTGAGCAGACTTATGACAAACATACATTAAGACCGAAAGGTTTTCGGATATTCTCATTTAAAATTCGCGCGCTGTATATTTTTCGATATTTTAAGTTTATGTAGTTTGGCAGCACTGTCCTTAATTACTATGCCAAAAATGAGCGCGATCTGTCAGGACAGTTCGTTTACGGCAGCTGTTGAAACCAGTTCACCTCAGTAGTGCGTTGCGAAAAAAAC